TTCCCTTCCCTTCCCTTCCCTTCCCTTCCCTTCCCTTCCCTTCCCTTCTTCTTTCTTTTTTAGAGGGGGAAGCTTTATGCCTTGAATATTAAGAAAGAATTGCTTCAGGAATTGTAAAGAAAAAAAAACTTTAGCTCTCATTCAGCGAGCTGGGAATGCAGGATTAAAGCATTGGATTGGAGGTCCTTTTTGCCATTTGTCATTACCTGATCCTGAATAGCAGCAACTGTCTGAAGAAAGACTGTAAGAGAGAAAGACTGTAAGAGACATGAAGAGAACCTACCTTCCCTAAACGTCTTCTCAGCCTTCCACTCTAGAGACTTCCTGAGCAGAAGGTGACTCTACACCTTTGTACTTAATAAAGGGATCTCTCCGTCATGAATTGGTCCTTTTTTTGACCACATTTTTAATGTTGGCCTCTGCATATTCCTGTGACAACGAGTTCYACAATGTAACAAAGGCATTCAAGCTTTCCCACATGTGTTGCTTAAGGGTATCTCAGTCAAAGTGTGACTTACATCTTGGAAACCTGGAAGGCAAACRCAGTGAAGATGTGGAAATGCCATGGGGGAGAAAGAAAGGAAATCATCCACAGAGCAGTCATATACTTTGGTTTAGACATGTCATTTCATTGGTTCTTCTCTTACCTCTGTCAGGGCATTCATGATTTTTTAACTTTATATCATTGCAACCATCTGTTTACACCTTAGCAATGTTTCTTTGGGCCAAAAAGTCCAAATAACCCTCCCTTTGCATCTTCTAGCTCCATATCATTTTGAAATGGATGACCAAAAGCGCACAGAACRTATGCACGTTGGGGACAGTGGCACAGAGACACTGACCGGTTGTACTTAGTGTCTTTCACAGTTGTTCTTAACTTGCTGCTTGTTTTTTCTTTTTTTCTGCCATCATTTAATGTTCACTGCTGGAACTGCTTGACAGCAGTATCAGAAATATGTCTCCTGAGCGGAGGTGTTTAAATTAGAGTCCATCATTTGGTGTGTATATGTGATTTGTTTTCTCTCACTTGCAGTACTGTGCTGTCTGACACAGAATTTCCTCTGGTATTTTATCTCCAAGTGATTCAATACTGCAGCCTCCTTTTGCTACTATTTGCAGGCTGTGTTTGTTAAAATGGTCCTGAAGAAATCTGTRCTGGCAGCAAATGTTGTCATCTTTCTATTTAACTCCTTTCCAGACCAGTTATGAATAGCCCGAATATTCCAGCTCCTGTTGTAAATCTCTCACACCCTACTAAGGCCTTGCTTATCTTGTCAACCACTACTGAGTCACAGGAGTGAATCCCCCAAACTAATTCAATTTTTTAAGAACCACTGGTGAGAGCTGCTCTAAAGTACAAGTGTACTCTATTGACCATTCGCCCTTCTACATGTTTGCTGATTCCTCAGATTCCTCAAAAAATGTCCATCAGATGTGTAAACATGAGTTTCTTAGAATCACAGAAGGAAACGATTTGGAAGGAACCTTGCGAGATCTTTAGTCCAACCTCCTGCTCAAAGCAGCGTCAACTCTGGGGTCAGGCCAGTTTGCCCAAGGCTGTAGTCAGTCAAATCTTGAAAACTTCCAAGAATGGAGACTGCGCRACCTCTCTGGGCAGCGTTCTTCACTTACCTTCACTGCCCTTGTGAAGACTTTCCAAAGCCTTGCAGTATTAGTGGCCAACTCTCCATTCTCTTAGTGCAGACCTTCTGGTCCTGTGGGYATTTGTGGGTAAGTTCACTCAAGTAATCTTTCACGTGCTGCTCGTAGATCATTTCATCCTTCAACTCTGCCTCTGAGCATAGAGACCTGGGAAGCCTTGTGAATGAAGAGAGGTGAACAAGGCCTTGAGTCTTTCTGCACAGCAGTCTGTTGCAGCCGCCACGACTTCAGCTTCACTGAGGAGCAAGAGGCAGTAGTGGTGGAAGCTGTGGAGTGCAAAATGTCATCACTGTTCAGTAACTTTGTAGKCTCATACATAGCTGAGCAAAGGTTGGAGGGACTCAGAGATGYTGCAGGCATTCAGTCATTGAAGGCACCCCAGTTTCTAGCATCTCTAGTGACCTGATAGGAACTTTTTAAACCTTCAGCATCGGTTTCTGATCTGGATGTACATCCAGGATTTCCCCTCTAATCAGTGGCAGAATTCACCTGTTGTTGGTTTTTGTTTTTGTTCTGTTTGTTTGTTTCCCTGCTYTTTCATAACTACATCAGACACGTGGCTTTGCAAATTTGTCCCAAAGAAGCTCTTCCCAGCCAAGGTGATGGGATCAGATATCATCTTGTACAACTGCCAAACTGTTTAGCTTCAAGCAAGACTCACCTCCCTGACAGTGTTGACCACAATTAATGTGTCCCTGAGAGGGAGAAGTAAAAAAATCATGAACAAAAATGTTAGATTTTGCCAGCTGATGGCAGTATTCAAAGGCGCCATCCCTATGACGTCTGACAATTGGCCAAAAAGTCAGAGTTGCAAGGACTAAAGCAGAAGGTCCCAGGTGAGCACTATTGAAACGAGCACTGTTCGGATTTACCAGTCAAATCACTGCCTAACTGAAACTATTTGTAGGGTCAGTGATCACTTCTAATGCCTTGTAGGGTCGTGATATATTCTGGTAGACTTGGACACATCCAAGTTAAAAGATAGATAGATAGATAGATAGATAGATAGATAGATAGATAGATAGATAGATAGATAGATCCACTGTCCCATCCCATCTGTATATAAAAAAAATGATGGTTTCAGGTAAATACTCTTCAGAACTTGTGCTCTGGACACTTGCCTATGTCCATGCCTATGTCAGATGAATAAAGAATAGGATCAGACTTCAGCATTACTCTCGCAGGTTCCAGGACATTTGTTATTTTGGCTAATGCAGACCTCCAGCTGTAAAATGTTTATTTGGCTGTGAAAAGCCTATGAAGTAACAAACTTTGATGGATTCAGCATATTGTTTTCTCTTCCTTTTTTGGGATGCTGTGTTTGCCTGCGGCTTTCGGGGGAACACGTCTCTCATTTTGTATATCATAAATAACAGAGCCTTATGACTGCCAGCGTGTGTAGCGCAGGTACAGGAGCCACGTTCTGCTCACAGAGCTTTTGTGACAGTCTGCACTGCAAGCAGATTCTCTAAAAATAATGGCATAACATGACTGCACAACACTTTAATATTTAACCTGGCAATAATTTAAATTTGWTAATATTTTATTCTTCCTCATAAGCAGCTTGTAGATTGAGCGTTTTTTTTTCACAAAGTTAAGTGAAGGAAATAAACTCTGGCTCCATGAACATACCGGGAAAGCAGATAGAGAAATATATTATTTCCTCGAGTGACCTCTCCAAGACCTCCTTGTGGCGCTTGTTATAAACAGACTGGTAATTGGAAAGTTTAGAATAAATAAAAGGCGGCTTTTCAAAACCTATGTATGTGCTATGTAAATGAACCTTCCAAAATGAAGCTCAAGTCTATATGTTACAAATCCTTTGCAAGGGGATTGTTTGAATATATTTTTAAATAAACATTTACCAGTTGTGTGAGGGCACGAAAGTTCWTTAGAAGCCCAGATATATTTTACAAGGAGAGGACAGACCATGGTTTTGTCCTGAGGCTCTGGCCTAAATTTTCAAAATGCTTAGTGATTTACTTTATTTTTCAGTTTTTAGATGCAATGGGTAGAGGATACCATTATATATCCGTTATTAAACTCTTTGTTAGAACATGTGTTCAATCCAGATCATCTCCTGCGTGAGGTCTGGAGGGTTTCTAGGGCCAGGTGGTGAGGAGGGCAGTGGAGCTTTAATCACCGCRTTTTGTTAATCTCGATGCAGAAGGTTATTGTGTTAGATGTTAGAATAACTCATCAAAAGATATCACGTGTCAAAACCTATTTGATTTTGACATAAAAGACTGTGGACACTGCCCGTATGACTGTTTTAGTGTAGGCTCAGACTGAAGATATYGACCTGTAAACTCTAAAGCAAGTAAAGAAGCCTCAGGTGGGAATAGTCCCATAAGGCTTTTGCAGAGCAATTCCTTGGCAGAGGAAATGTGAGCAATTGCTCATCAATGAAAATAAATGGTTGCCATCCCAGCCTTTTTTTTCTGCTTGTGTGAAGAAAGTCATGTTGTGTATCAGCACTTGGAGGGCCTGGCACCTAATTCTGGCAAGTGATAGTTGGGAGACCGTTTTTTACAAAGGCTTTGCTTCTTTCATTAAATATGTGATGTGATTTGAAGATACTTGTTCTCTTCACTACCTCAGGTCTGCACTCCATTAGCTTCAGAGCTTTTAATCTGAACTGATTACGAATYTAGGATTAATGTGTTTTTTTTTCTTAAGAAAATACACAAACGACGGATATATAAATTTCTCCTCTAATATCTCTTTATGGTTGAAGTTTTATTTGATCTTAATAGATGAAGTTCAGCTGGAGGATGGACCCAGTTTTCAGAATCGCCTAATTCTAGTCAGGACTAACTTTTGCAGTTTGTAAATCATTACTGGTTTCTTTTGGGGTGGGGGAGTATTGGAGTGGCTGGGGAGCAGTTTGACAAAAATCAGTAGTTTTGATTTAAGAGAATGTCATTTTTAACAGAAAATGGCATCTTCCAATAAAAGTATATTTTATTAAAGTCATGTAGCTTGACAAACAGTTTAGGCTGAGAACTTCATAGTTGGTATGTAAGCAGAGCAACTCCGCTGAGATTTGTGTGCATTGCTAAGATTAATGAAATACACTTTACAAAGGAGGGCAATGATTCACCGAGTAAAAATAGGCAACATCCTAAAGGGCCTGTAAACACAGCTATTAATTTTAGGACTAGAATCTTATACTCTTTGTCCATCCTAGTCTGAGAATAATGCCACTGAACTCTGTGCCACTATTCAGTGGGTGCACATTCTGCAATTAAATAGATTTTAAGAGTGACCACAGTTGCATTTTGTCTGCATGTTTTGGCCCTCCTTTCAAATCTCTCTATGGTAATTTTACTGTATTAAATATTCATCTTTTCCATATTAAGCCACCGTCCTTACCACAAACCCAGCTTAATATATTTATTGCAGTCAGTCAGTAATAACAATTACAAAGGAGGCACAGTTAACGTGCCTCTTATTTTCTACCTAYATACCTCAGGGTTTTGCAGTCTCCAAAGGACTTCTTGGAGTCAGTTGCTAAAAAGTTCTTTTTATTTTTTCCCAGTGTTGTTTGTGCTTGAGGCTTAGTCTGATGATGAACCTCACTCTTCATTTGGAGGA